TCTACGGTCGTTGATCTCAACTGAATAAAATAAGATCCACAGAACCATCACTTTACCCGTCTGATGTTTAGGATGCACCCTTGCAGTAATAATAATAATAATACTCATCATCATTATCACCCTAGGCAGCAACAGATTTAAGAGCGTTCCCGCTTACTCTCGCTCTTTTTACCAAGATATTACTAACGCACTCATTCGGAATGCACTTAAGGAAGAGGAAAATTGGGATCACATAAAGGCAGGGACCGAGAGTTTCTTCGCGGTTATTTCCAGTTAGATCAGACTTATGCTTGAGAAACTTCCGGGGATATGCACTCGATTCTCCTATACCTTTTGCCAGTAACTCATGGATCAATGGCGGAACACTATCAGCAGGCGTGCACACTTGAGAACCCAGATGATCAGACTACTGCCGAAAGTACTAACCCGCGCACTCGCCTGACTACCAACGTGATTAGCGTTGCCAACTAGGCAGTTCATTCGTTGATAAACGTTCATCTGACCGCTAACGGAACTCATCTGTCCCGTTCTGCCTAGGGCTTCCACAGTGACCCTGACACCCGTTACGGCTGATAGTATAGGCAGATAGTATTGTCGGCGAAGACGAGGGAGACTAAAATGGCCATTTTTGACTTAGTAGCCGTCGTCAGCCAGTCATACCCAGGCCCAAGTGGAGCCCCACCCGAGCGTCGAACTCGCGACCCTTTTGATCAGAGTCAAACAGCCTAACCATTGAGCCACGAGCTCATTATCTTGCCGATTTAGGTCGAAGAATATCGACACTCGTAGATTAAAGTTCACCCAACCGCTAACGGAACTCATCTGTCCCACTGGTTGACGACGGTTAATAAGCCACGAATGGAAGGTGGGAGGCCCAGTGAAGAACGCGACTATTTCCGGAATGCTAGGAGGCGGGGTCCGGGGTCACGAAACGTTGGAATCGTCAGCCATATTTTCAAACAGAAAGACTACCCAGACCAGATTATAAACCCAGTCAGCATGGAAAACCGACACATACTAGTGGATAAACAGCATAACGTTGGCTTTTGATGGAACACCATTCGTATCACGTGAGCAAACCACGCTCAAGAAGAGTAACCTAATTGCAGTAAATGTCGTCAGTTTGAAACGCCTACACAAGTACAATCAGAGTTCTCATAAGGACTGCACATCGATCTCATGTATTCCTTGTGGGAATTTGTGATTTTTTTCCAGCTTATGTGCTCGAAGGGAGAGCTTGTTTCGGCTCCGGGGAATTGGAAGAAATATCATTGGTAGTTTTCTATCCTCAGAGATAATAATGGCGCTAATATCCTAAGCAACGTGCCCTCAATTTATGGGGGTGTTATATCCCCAACTAATAGGCAGGGGGAGGCAAAGCCAGTTTTAATAGCAAGCTTTATTCAGGACGGTGAAGAGATAACGGAATCAATTAGCATATCCACTACAGCCTATTTATAAGGCTTTGGCTCTTCTAGACTAATCCTGGCCTATCGTATG